AGTCTCATTTTGTAGATAATTTTACTCCCTATAAGCTGTCTGAGAGTCACTTTTCGCTAAAATTGATGGTTTTCCCTGCAAAGTGAAAAAACTGTTTTCCTCACTTATTTGTTTAAATAGAAAAGTTAGCTAATAAAAGTTTTTGACTCACGAGACGAGAGATGTCTTGTATTATGTTCCTTTAGACAATTTTACAATAATCTAGCCCCTAGATTAGTAAATAAAATTCCGCTACATTCTAGCGGATAGGACTTTTTTGGAGTAAAAATTTAATTTGCTTGGTCTACATTGCCATACGCAGTAAACAACTGTTAATAAGGTTTTTAGAACTATATTAACATAAGCGACTGATCGCATTGCCTATTTAACCAAGGATTTTCATTACAGATCAGGCAGTTTGGGATCGGCAGGGGTAGTTCTGGACATCGAGCAATCACCCATCGAATGTGGCAACGGCGAAATGGCAAGTTCTGACGTGGGACCCTGGAGAAGGCCCGCAAGTTAATCAGGGCCCTTCCACAGAAGACTAGGGCACAGGCACAACAGATAATAAGCTTGGAGACGAGTAAACAAGATGCAAGTAAGTCTACTTTCTAGAATTACACCGAATCCTTTGTTGTATTGTATGATCCTTTCATCATTCGTTATCTTATAACTAAAGTTTGACTTTTGTTTGCGAAAGTAGTAGCGTCACTATGAAATTTAAAAATGTTTTAACTGTTATTGATGCCGCCCTACAATTTTTTGACTTTTTGAGGGCTACCAGAGGGCAGCATCGTCAGATCTAAGAAAAGGTGCCTCAAAAAGAGGCAAATTGTTGATTCAGCTGTTATAATAGAGTAGCAAAGGTATAGTTGTTACGATCTCAATTGGAACCGCATAAAAACATTTAACTCATAAATTCTACGGAATCCGTAGACGTTCAGAAAAATTTAGCCCTGTCTCGTCTATAGTAGGATCATATTCGATGGAAAGTAATAAATCATTGCCTGTCAAGGGAACCAATGAAGTACGCTTTTAAGGGTTTTACAAATTGAATAATTTCTTTATACATTATGAAGGGACGAGGGAATCAGTTCAGGTCTGGCACCCTTGTTCCTACAAAAATTCCTTTATTTTCATAAACTATTTATTTTAAATGTAATTTATTATAAATCCAATTTGTTCCCTAAATTCCACATATGTACCACATTTTACCGCTGTACGCGCCACTGTTGTTTACTTGTTTTTTAGAAGCGCTCTCTAATTGACGGCAAAGCTCGCCAGGTTAGTATTTGACGTATAACCGACCAGTTCGTACACTCGATGCACCTGGGCGACTACAGCTACTACCAGAACACAGTGCGTATGCAGCGGTATTTCAGATTTTACATTGAATTTCATTTTAAATTTGAAATGATTTATCTTACGTCTCCTAAAAATGATGACACGATTTTCCTTTGATAAAAGACCGACAACTTTTTGCTCTACTTTGCATCGAATACGATCCTACTATAGATATACTATATTCCGAGCTATATTACAATATAATTACCATACGATTGTCAAGTTTTTTTATGTATAAAATCGCATTGTAATAAAGCATGTCGTAAAATATGTAAAGATTTATAATTATAATCAGGATAATCGCTTCATTTATCTCGAATCATGTTTAAAGTAGGAACTTTATTTTCTTTATACATATTATAAATTGTGCGCCGCATTACATCTGGTAAAATCGTCAATTTTCTTTAATTTTGTATTTTTCGGTTTCCTCTTTGTACCGTGATCAATCCTTTAATTACGCGATAAATTGTCGTTTTTGATATCTTAGTTAATTCGTTAATACGTTTCCTAACTTTTTTATCACATTGTTCACTATTTTCAATTTTCAAACATTCATATGTATTTAATATAATACGTTGACTTTTTACGTGTAAATCTTTGTTTTTAAACTCTAAGTTTGTTTCGGTTCCACTATTTGGGGATTTTCACGCTAAGTGAACCCGTATACCATACAAAAAAAAATATTTACGACCTAGTGGACCAATGCAGGTTTGCTTTTATGACTAGCGCGCCGTCCGTCAATTCTACATCAAGCAGACTAGTTTACCAATACCGGACTCGCCGAATTGCTATTCGAGTATAAATTACGAGACACATCATGGTCAAAGCATAAGAAGAAATTTCAGAGGTGCATACGGTCCTGTGCTTTAAAATTTACAGGTTCCAATTGACATCGTAACAACTATATTATTATATATAATACATTATATGTATTAAAAATTATAAATGCGTAATTAGATAGATAACCTGGATCCTGATAGTTCTTACTTTGACGTATTCTGATAGCGTAGCTTACAAAATCAATGTTTAGATATATCAAAATACGCTAACTTGCGTCTCATTTTGTTGTGGAAATGTGGATAGAGTATATCTGCAATATTAAATTGGCGTCTGTAGTATTCTCCTTCAAATACGTACAGGTTAACAGGAATAAGTTTGCGGATGAGAAACAGGAAGCATTGAAGCATTGTAGCCTTGATACCTGTACTGTCATTAACCGCTATTTGCAACTTTGCAATAAATGCAATACGCGATGGGTCAAAGATCCTAGATCCGGTCGCGTGAGCGATGACAATACATTATTCTTACTCAGCAAAACTTACATTATTGTAGTTATAGAAAATAAAATCAGTCTTAACTCAAACT